TGATTGGAGTTCTAATTTTGCAGCTAGAGGAAGATTATCAAAGAAAATTGAACAAGATTGAAGATGAGTTTGAGGATAACAGAAGGAAGTGTTGGAACTTAAATATTTTAATAAAAAATAAAATAAAATATTTTATAAATTAAATTTATTGTCTTATTAAGGACTTGGTCAAACTAACTGTTGTAGGTTAATTGTTCTATTTAAAGACACATTATTTCATAATAATTGCGCAATTTATTCCTACCATTAACCTACAAATGGGAGTTATAAGACCATGAGTCCTATAAATAGGACATGTCTTTTGCTCAAAAAAATGTGTTGTTCCTCCAAATTCTCCTATTTTTCTTATCTTGCTTTATTCTCTAAATATTTTTGGGCTAAGAAGTGTGTTTTGAGTAAGGTGACTCTATGGGTAGTGCAGATCCATAGAGTGTTATTATAAAGCTGTAGTATTTTGGGGGCGACGTGCTTTATGTATCTCTGCTGCATTGGTTGATCTACTCTCCGCATAGGCGTGAATCACCTTAAACACAACAATGACATGATGTGGAGATGGAGGAAAGTGTTCGAAGAATAACAATTTTAAGGCGATTCAGTATGCAAAACAAAAATGGAAACATGTACCACCTTGTGTAAGCAAAATACTTTCTTGATTATGTGTGTGTCAAGCAGGTATGGGTTTCTGACGCTCTTGCAATATTTGATGCTTTATCTATTTAGTGAATCATTATCCAATATTCTAATTGTATACTAGAAATGTTGGAAACTTGGAATGATAACTTATGGCTCCATGAATTTTCTTCGGTTAAATACACGGAGGTATTATCATTGTATAGCTTGCCTAGATTGTAACCATAAGCATGAGTAATTCTTGTTTTTGTATTTTAGTAGTATCATCATGGAATAGCCATTCTGTCAAATATTAATTTGGCACATTAAATTTGTTATTCCACTCAATTAGTAGTTTGATGATGACATACCAACCATTTGACATCCGTTTAATATTTCTATAATTATTATATAAGTTACTTGGGTGTTTCGACTTGGTTGTTCTGATGAATGACTTTATTTCTAATGGTTAAAAAAAATCAAAAACAAAAAAGGAGGAAACTTTCCGTTCATGCAAGCATGTGGCATTACTATGTAGACATGATAGTCTTAATGACATTATGATTTACTGTTAAACGTTAGGAATGAATGTGGATTTATTGGGCAAATGTACGTGTGATATTTGATAGCTTAATGTTATTAGCAATTGGTATTAAATACACTTTGAGAACCCAAGTGAGAAGCTACTTGAGTTGGTCCATGTAATTATTTTGGTAAAAATGGACATGATATTTGGGTTGATATATTCCGGAAACGTAAGCTAAATTTTTAAGCTTACGTGACCGAGGAGTCATTTGTGGCGATAAAATATGAGATGAGCTAATATGCTCTTATAAAATCTTGTGAAAAAAAAAGAGTGTTTTTTCATGAACTCAATTATTTGAGAAATGTGATAATCACATATTTGAGATGCTCCCAATGTGGGGGATTGTGATACCCTTGTATATTAGTTTTGGTGATGAGACTAATGGTGCCTAATTGAGATTTTGCATAGCATTCCTATTATACAGTAAGGTATAATGGTGCTTAACAAAGCAAATGTGATATGCACTCCTATTATACAGTAAGGTATAATGGTGCTTAACAAAGCAAATGTGATATGCACTCCTATTATACAGTAAGGTATAATGGTGCTTAACAAGTGAATGTGATATGTATTCCTATTATACAATTATGGTATAATGGTGTATGATGAAAAAAAATAATAAGGCACTTGAGAAAAGGGCTATGTGATGGACATTCCTATTGTACAACAAGGTACAATGGTGTTTGAGTTAAAAATTCTTAAATACATGTTTTGACATGTATGGAAAGAAAATGGTGGTTCATTAGCTCAATTTGATATAAAAATTGTGGTACCATGAAGTGAAAATTTGAGAAATATGAATGTGAATTTTATGAGCTAGTAGACATGTGAGCTAATGTGAAAAAGTGAGAAAAAGAATGAGTTGAATCTCTTTTAACCCACTATTCCACCAATTAGGCTTTTGGCAAAAACAAAAGTTGGAGGAAAATCTATGATCATAGTCCAAGGTCTAGTGCTCATCGAGGGGAATGGGATTCAAGCCCAATAGTGTAGAACTTCCTATGAGGATACCCAACCCAAATTCTAAGAATTGGGTTTTGAATGGGAAAAACGAATCATAAAGAAGTCGTTATTGAAAGATGCATCAATATTTAATGAAAACAAATTTTCCAGTCCCATTCCTAAGGTGAGGATGCATCTATTCCATAACGAATTGAGGGTTGAGTTATATACTCTTAATGAAATTTGTAGCTCATAGAGTGGGGTGTCTTAGTTATGGGAGCACCATTGACAAATTTCACCCATGTGGGTGTCGAAGTGAGGCCGCTTCTATGAAAATTGGATAGGCAATTTTCTAGATCACCCATGAAAACCGGGATCATGTGCAAGGCGATAACGCGCTAGCTATGTGAAAAAACTCAACATTCGGATCATTATGTGTGTGATACGATTCTTGTATCTTCCAATAGGGTCATAGTTCAAGACTTAGTTCACTATTGACTTTGGATTAAGAATCATTGACTCACTAAGTAAAGGTTCAAGGCTTAACTACCTTTATTATGCATAATAATCCATCTTTGCCCAAAGAAAGGTTTATTTTTTATTAAAATAGTGGGGGAATTGTTGGAACTTAAATATTTTAATAAAAAATGAAATAAAATATTTTATAAATTAAATTTATTGTTCCATTAAGGACTTGGTCAAACTAGCCGTTGTAGGTTAATTGTCCTATTTAAGGGCACATTATTTCATAATAATTGCCCAATTTATTCCTACCATTAACCTACAAATGGGAGTTACAACACCATGAGTCCTATAAATAGGACATGTCTTTTGCTCAAAAAAATGTGTTGTTCCTCCACATTCTCCTATTTTTCTTATCTTGCTTTATCCTCTAAATACTTTTGGGCTAAGAAGGGTGTTTTGAGTAAGGTGACTCTATGGGTAGTGCAGATCCATAGAGTGTTATTATAAAGCTGTAGTATCTTGGGAGCGACATGCTTTATGTATCTCTGCTGCACCGGTTGATTTACTCTCCGCAGAGGCGTGAATCACCTGAAACACAACAATGACATGATGTGGAGATGGAGGAAAGTGTTCGAGGAACAACAGGAAGATCTATAAAGAGTGGGATATGATGATTCAGATGTTCCCTCAGTTTTGGTTCAATGCTTTTTTGAGCCATCCCAAACTTT